TTCCTCGAAAATTGTAATTATTCTTAAAAATTTTATTAAAATTTGGCGAAAGAATTCAATTATTTCTAGAAATTGTAAAAAAATTCTTCTCAAGAATTCAATTATTTCCATAAGTAGCAAAATTCGTCAGATTTACTAAATTCTTTTGAATATTATTTTTAAAAAATATTCTTCACAAGAAATTCAAATATTTTTTAAAATTTCCATAAAATTCTAAAAAAAAATTCAATTATTTTCAAAAGTAATAAAATTCTTCGCAGAAATTCAATTATGTTTAAAATTTTTTTTAATTTTCTCGTCAAAATTTCAATTATTTTTATAAATAATTAAATTGTTCTCCACAATTCAATTACATATTTTCAAAAATTTTAATTAAAATTATTAAAAAAACATTATTTTCAAAAAGTTTAAAGAAATGTGTCAAAAGAATTTAATTATTCATACATAATTATTCATCTTAAAAATTTTATTAAAATTCGTCGAAAGAATTCAATTATTTCCATTAATAGCAAAATTCTGCATATTTACTAAATTCTTTTGAATATTATTTTTAAAAAATATTCTTCACAAGAATTTTATTATTTTTATAAATTTCCATAGAATTCTAAAAAAACAATTCAAATATTTTCAAAAGTAATAAAATTCTTTGTAGAAATTCAATTATGTTTAAAAATTTTAATAAAATTCTACGCAAACATTTAATTATTTTCATAAATAATAACATTCTTTGGAATGATTCAATTACTTTTATAAATAGTAAATTTCTTTGCAGAAATTCAATTAATATCAATACATTTTAATAAAATTGAATTAATCAAATTTTCAATTATAATTATGAAGAGACAAGATTATTTAAAAAAATTGGAAAAATTCTTTATTTAATTCAATTATTTTCCAAATTTTTAATTAAAATTATTAAAAAAAACATTTTTAAAAAATTAATAGAAACTTGTCAAAAGAATTAAGTTATTCATAAAAACTCTAATAAACATTTGGAAGCTATTTATAGATTTATTTATGTTCGAAATCAAACAAAATTAAAATTTGTTGAGAAAAAAAACCGGGTAAAATTAGGACAAAGTCGGGAAAAATCCGAGAAATGACCGGGAATTTCGTTGAACAAAAATAGTAGACACCCTGTATTGATTTAGTTTATTTTTAATTTCAATTTTCAAGTAGTTGAATTGATTTGATTTTATTGATTAAATTTATTGATTTCGATTTTGAAAATTTGATTCAATTTACTTTTATGGATTTAAGAAAAAAAATTGTCTCAAATAAAAATTTAGTTTTAAAAGATTTTTTCTGTCAATTTTTCACGACGTATTTTGAAATTCTAAATTAAACTTTTGAATAGTTAATAAAATGAAAAGAGAACTTTAGAGATTTCTCATTTTAGTGTTACTTTTTCGTTTTTAAGAGACATATGCCAACTGAATGGGCGAATGGAATATGAAAATACCGGACAAGTTATAAAAATATGCATTACTCTTTTAAAACGAGTGGATTTATCGCTTTATGGACACTCGCCTCAAACCGTTTTCATGTCAGGGAAATTCAGAGATTGTAAGTTTTTTTAATGATAGGAAAAAGGAGCAAATGTGACATTTAGAAGAAGCTTATTTTTTCATAAAAAAAATCTTTTTTTTACTTTCTTTGGAATTTTTGTATAAATATTTCACTTTGAGTACTTTGAGTATTTTTTATATGTTTGAAAGATCTATTTTTTTTTTTTTTAGTTTTATAGAGATGTTCTTATCTTGAAATTCATTTTCCACTTGACAAAGAGGAAAAAAAGAATTTTTAAAATAAGTAATTCATTTTTTTTTCGTATTACAATTTCCCCGCACAAAGATTGTAAATCTAGTTAAAAGATTTTTCGTAAATTAAAGTTTCTGTGTAATATGGAGAGAGTCGCCTTCGCTTAATACTTTTGAAGGAGCTAATTGGGGCGTATAAACTTGTCTTAGACCTGAGAAATGCGGACCCTGAGCCATCTCTTAATTCCGAGGACATTTTATATATATATATATATATAGTAATGTAGCGGTGGTAGATTACAACACAAGACACTCTCGTTAGAGAATATCACGGATGCTGTCATTTTGAATAGAGAGTTTAACAATTACTCTTATCCACAGCAAAAATTTACCGACGAGAAAAAATTAAACAAATCATTAAATTGAAAGTGGAATTTTTAGTTTTGAAATTTTATTCAAAAATATCAGAAATTAAGCTAAATTTTTGGTATTAATTTTTGATACTTTCAAGAAATTGAAAATATTATTTTCCAGTGGAGTTATATTATATATTTTCTATTAATAATTCTTTGCATTCGTTGAATTTCGAACCGTGAAAGAGTTTTTATTTGAGACTAAAAGAATGATAAGAATGCGTGTTTATTTTTTCGATCTTGAAATAAAAAAGAAGTGACATTCTTTTCTAAAGAGGAATTTCCAGTCGATATAGCATATCATTGCCACAAGTTCGAAAACCATTCTTATGCAATTTAAAAGTTTTAATGATGTAGCGTAGTTCTGAGAATGGCCAATATTCACTTGGTTCCGTCACTTTTCTCTCTCAAAGACACTATCCACTATCGTTCTTATACTTATCCCCATTTCTTCTTTTTCTTCTTCCTCTTCTTCTTCTTCATTTTATTGTGCAAACGAATCGACGCTTTCTTGAGAAACTTGTTTGCCAATTACATAGGATAAGTAGAGTAACGTCTGCAAACACACCGTTGGTATTATCTCGAGTAAACAGGGTTTTCCTATACACTGACAAGTTGGACGAATAAATATAAGCAACTGTCATATAGAGGGTTCAATATCCTCCAAGGATTATAGTGATGAGTTTTATTATGAGGGTTTGTAATTAAATTTTTTTTTTTCATTAACTTATTAAAAAGGGATTAGAGGATAAGATATTTTTTTTCTCGATATTATTTATTCATGATGAATTGTTACAAAGCAGTAATATAATTCCAATTCTTTTACAATTATAGATTTCATATTGCCATACGATTATTGAAATTTTGTTTGTTGTTAATCAAGTTCAATAGATATTCGATGACTTGAAAATTATTTAAATTATGTCGAAGTTGTCTACTACTTTTCCTAAGAGATCCCACAACATCTTCACTGCTCCATGAGCTGAGGAGAGAAATATTTACATTGTAAGTCAAGTATTGCAAAAAAATATTATTCAATTTAATATTTAAAAAATTTTTATTCATTAATAAAAAAATAAATATTTTATTGGAAAAAATTATTTATCAACATGGAAAATTCAGAAAAGTTAGTAAATTTTTAATTAAATTTTAAGAAGAAAAAAAGGTGAATTGAGATAACGTACCAGCTGGTGATCTCATGGCTTGTTGGGGTTGAGCTGAAACATAAAATTTTTATTGTAGAGTAAATAATTAAAAAAATTATTGAATTTTAATGCAATTGACATTGGGTTCTTTTCATATTCTCTCCTTATTTCGAAGTTTATATTTTATTTTTTGATAGAAAGAACTTATGAGTTGATTGTAATTTTTATAGAATTAATACAAAATTATTTTATTTTTCTTCAATTATTTAATTGTCTAATAATAAAAAAATAATAATTAACATTGCAATTGTGAAAATATCAATAATTGTCATTATTTTTAAGTTTTTGCACTTTTTGAAATAACCATTTCACTTTTTTGAAGTTTGACAATATTTTTCTCGTTTCCAGTGTCAATAAAAATAAGAGCATTTCTGTTGTTTTGTACGAAAAATATTAAAATATTATTTAAAACAAGACTGAAATTAAAATAATTTATTAAAAAAGTTTTATATAAAAAAGAATAACTTGTTCCATGTTTACCTCTGATGTTCTATAATAGAATTACTTACTTACTTACTTACTTACTTACTGATTACTTCTTTCTATTGTGGACTATTGATCCCATCCTAACCACGCTGCCTAAGAAGCAAACGAATTATAGGTTATGTTTGTATTTGTTTTATTTTAATTAAAGGTTCCTTTTTAATTATGTGAATTTGAAATAATTTTTTATTGAATATTTTGAATGTAATGAAGATTTGAACATCAATATAATTTATAATAATAATAGTCAATTCTCTTTCTCTGATTTTTACTCGAAAAATTATAAACATAACCTAAAATTTTTCGCTTTTTGGGCACCTTTCTTGGGAGCGCGTCATATTTATATAAATAAATAAAAGTTAAAAATATATAAATATAAAAATAAATGTATTATTGTGGAGTGACATACCCGTGACAGATACACAGCTTAAAGCAGCCAACACCATTAAGAAAGTGAAAATGAAGTACTTCATTGTTAAATTTCTTTTTCAAATTACAAAATAACTTGACTGACTGTTGCTAATGTTTGTCGCATCTTTTATATGCGAGAAATTTACATGAAATGTGCTAGAGTTTGCAATTTGACGATAATTAACGATAAATTAAGATAATATTAAAAGGAAAGTTTTGTTTGCCTTTTATCATTAGGAAGGCACTTTTCCTTTATACTTATATTTTTTTTAATTCTTTATTCGACAATAGTAAATAGATACATTTTAATTTAAACGTAAATTATAAGACACTTTATTTCATTATTTTAGATTTAATTTTCATTTTCATTTCAATAAATATTAAAATTCAAATGTAAAAAATATTTTTTTTGTGTATAGGAAATATTTTAGAAAGAAAATATTCGTATACTGTTAAATATTAATTTCAATCTTTATTCTTTATTTCAAGCTGATATTCAAGATTTATTTTTTCAAATATATTAAAATAGGGTTAATAAATAAAATAGGAAAAGAAAATTATTTTTTCTATATAATGAGTAATAGTTGAAGAAAAAAATTCTCATAGAGATAAAAGCAAAGCAAGAAATTCCTTTTAAGTTGTAATCTTAATTTATCGGTAATTGGTGTCTAAATTGTAACTAGAGTATCTTTTTCGTTTGGTTTCTCGCATATAAAAGGTGGAACGGACATTCAGAGCATCAGTGTCAAGTTGTCTTGCAATTTGAAATCATTTACAATGCAATACTTTATTTTCACTTTCTTAATTGTGTTGGCAGCTTTGAGCTGTATGACCGTCACAGGTATGTTACATTTGTTATTAAAAATTTTTTAGTTTATACAATAATTTTGTTAAAAAAATAATAAAAAGTTTGTTTATTATACTATAAAAACGAAAAAAAGAATTAACTTTTAAATCCAGAAATAATATAATTTATCATAATAATAATAATAATTGTTGAATTTGTTTAAATAAATTTTATTAAAAAGTGTGTATAATACTGTGAATATATAAATTATTTTCAAATTATGATGCAATTTTTTTGTCATTAAATAGATTATCAAAATTATAAAAAAAAGTTAATAAATAAGTTTTTTGTATCTTGACCAAAAAGTATACTATCCAATTGTATTAAATTTTAATAACAATTTAAAATTTTTTTTTTAAATTCTAATAACAATTGTTTGAAATAAAAAATTTATAATGTTTCAGCTGAATTTGACAGAATTAAATCTGAGGCTGGTATGTTATTTTCATTTATTTGATTTTCACTTTTTGTGAATTATTGAAATATTTAATAAACTTTTATTTTCCAGCTCACGGTACATTGAGAATGGTCTTCGACCTTTTAGGAAAAGTTATAGAGAACTTTGATATTTAATTGAAAAATTCAAGTCTTTGAAAAATAAGCATCTTTGTGAACTTGAATTTAAAAAATGTTTTCAATAATCGTATGGCAATATGAAATTTGTAATTGATAATAAACTGGAATTATTGTTTGCTTTGTAATGTTCATCAAGAATAAATAAAAAAAAGGAAAAAAAACAAATTCTTGTCTTATCTTCTTAATAATGATATATTTTAAGTTTTCTGATTTTTTTTTTTTTTTTTTTGGGAAATTTATCATTATTTCTAATCTGAGATTTTTTTTTATCTTTCCCTTTATGTCTAGATTCAGTGGTAAAAGAAAGTTCTAGGCAGACAGAACTGTGGTGAAATACTCCCAAGTTTCAGTGTCAGTAGTAAAAGACGTTTTAGTCAGACAAAAGTCCTGAATTTGTTGAAAATTTTAGTGCCAGTAGTAAAAAGACTTTTCAGTCAGACGAAATGTTTTGGAACTCTTGTAAATTTCGTTTGAGTAATAAAAGCAAGTTGCATGTAAGTACATGCAAATCTTGTATATTTTTGATTTGGTAGTAAAAGGCGTTTTAGTTGGTCAGAGCTTTACAGGATGGTTGTAAATTTGATATCAGTAGTACGAGTCAGTTATATTTGCACTTATTTTTTTTCTTGAATTCTATTATCTGGGCGGTAAAAATTAGTTTTATATAAAAAAAATATCTGAAATTATTATTTTTTGTACTAGTAGTAAAGGACTGGTTTAGTCAGACTTCACATTACTTTTGAAATTATAGTTCATATTAATATCAGTAGTTAAAAATGGATATAGTCAGACAGAACTGTTATGTTTTTTTCTGCTAAACATTTCTTTCTTTCTTTCACTCTAAACATTCATCGAATCATTAGAGACAGTAGGGAAAGTAAATTATAAATTTATATTCTTGACGAAGTAGCATAATTTCTTAATATATTCTTAAAATTTTTATTTTTAAAATTAGTAGTAGAAGATAGTATATTGTCAGACGAAAAAATTTAAACTCATAATTTTATTCTGCTCTTTGTAATTTATGTGTCAGTAGTAAATGCTACTATATAGTCAGACACAAAAATCTTAATTCTTAATTGTATTCACATTTTTGTTAAGTCTCAGTAGTAAAACATAGTGTATAGTCAGACGAAAAGTTTCAAACTTTCGTAATTTTATCCAAATTTTTATTGTTCGAGGATCAGTAGTAAAATATATGATATAGTCAGACAGAAATTTTATCCTGATTTTTGTAGTTTAAATAGCAGTAGTAAACCATATGCTTTAGTGAGACACAAAAATCTTAACTCTTAATTTTATCCACATTTTTGTTAAATGTCAGTAGTAAAAGCTATTATAGTCAGACGCGAAGTTTTAAGCTTTTGTCACTTTATTAAAATTTTAATTGTTTGATATTAGTAGTAAAATGTATAATATAATCAGACAGAAATTTTATCCAGATTTTTGTTGTTTAAATTTCAGTAGTAAAACATATGCTATAGTCAGACAGCGAAGTTTGAACTCCTAATTTTATCTAGATTTTTGTTAGTGGAAAAAGATAGTGCATAGTCAGACAGAAAATTTTAAACGCTCCTAATTTTATCCAACTTTTTGTTTTTTACATCCCAGTAGTAAAAGACAGTATATTGCCAGACGGAGAATTTTTTGTTGTTTGAGTCTCAGTAGTAAAATATAGGATATAGTCAGACATAAAGTTTTTATAATTCTTAAAAAGCATCAGTAGTAAAAATTAGTTTTCCTCATTCTTTTATGTTAGTATCAGTAGTAAAAGTTATTTTTCGTTCTCTGAAACTTATTAATTCAAATCGTTGAAACAACAGTAGCAAAAATAAATTTTAGTCACACTGAATTATTAAAAATCAAAAATTGTTTTATCATTTTCTATATTTTCTATCATAAATTGGTTGCAATTAGTAATTTTCCTTAAAAATCTATTTTTTGTCAGCAAGAAATATTCAATTCGGACAGTAATGCAATTCATAAAATTCATTTCCTCTGAAAAATTTTCTTTTGTTTCTTGAATCAGAGTAGGAAAAAGTAATTCTTTTCTCATATATTAAACATTTTTTTTATTCTCTAATATTTTTTATTATTTCATAAAGATTTTTTTATATTTCTTTATGTTATAATTGTGTTTATTTTACATATATGGGAAAATGGAGAAAATTGAAAAATGGAAAAATGTGAGAAACGAGAGAAAGTATATTTTTTCGAAAGTATTTATTTATGACGAATATTACAAAGCGAATAGTAATTCCAAATTTTTTACAATTACATTCATATTGCCATACGATTATTGAAATATTTTTTATTTATCGAGTTCAATAAATTTTTCAACGTCTTGAAATCTTCTTATATTATGTCGAAGTTGTCTACTACGTTACCTAAAAGATCCCATAACATTTTCACTACACCATGAGCTGAAAAAGAAAATTAAATAATTAAATTAATTAAAATTAATTGAAAAATCAATAATTGGGAAAAATTTGTAATATCTTTTTTTTGGTGAAACAAAGAATATAATAATTAAAAATAACATACCAGCTGGAGATCTCATTGCTTGTTGGGGTTGAGCTAAAACATACAATTTTTATTTTAGAGAAAATAATTTAAAAAATTAACAAATTTTAATGTAATTAAATTTAATTCTCTAAATGCGTAGAATTAAATATTGAATACGTTTTAATTAAATTTTGAATTATATTGTACATTTTTAATAAATTAAGATTAATTTTTTATTTAATTTTAAGATAATTAATAACTACACACTAAAAAAAAGTTTTACTTTTAGCCTGTTTTCGAGGCTGAATTTAAGGTGTAAACGGAGTCAGACTTTTTTTTCCTGTGTAATTCAGTATAAATAATAAATAATGCACTTAAAACATTTAACTGAATTAATAAATAATGTGACATACCTGAGACGGTGAAACAGCAAACAACTGCGAGCACCATTAAGAAAGTGAAAATGAAGGAATGCATTGTTAATAATTTTAAATTGCAAAACAACTTAACTTCATTGAGTGCCTTCACGTTTTGTGGCGTCTTTTATATGCAAGAAAATTAAAACTATATAATTGCATTTTCAATTTGACGATAATTAAACAGAAATTTAGATAATACATTAAAAGGAAAGTCTTGTTTGTCGTTTATCACTAGAAGATACTTTTCTTTTGTCATTAGTTTGTAATCAGGGTCTTTTTTTTCTATTGTTGAAAAAAGCTGCTTTTGTAGTTATTTTCAGTAATTTTAAGTTCGCAAAAAGAGTAAGAAAAATTTAGTTGATTCAAATAATCGATTACTTGTCAATTAACAAATAAGTATTTACTTGAATCAAACAATTTTTATTTGAATCAAATAAATTATTTTTGAACCAATAATTTCAGAAGCAAATACAGTTTAAATGATTTAAATAAAAATTATTTGATTCAGGAAAATATTTTTTTGGTAATAGACAAGTAATCGGTTATTTGATTTAAATAAATTTTTTTTAGTGTATTCCAAAGTTAGTTTAGTGTATAAAAAAAATTTCTCTTATACTTTTAGTTTATTCTCTCATACATCAATAATGAATATTTTTTATTCTTTGCTTTAAAAGAGTACCAATATTTTTAATTAAAAAAAAGTTTTTGTTACAATTTTTCTTTTATATTTTTCAGTTTTTGTTTATAATTAAAAGTTTGCTAAAAACAATCAAATATTTTAGTTGTCAAATCCATCAGAGTTGTTAATTTTTTATTGTTTTTTGAAATTTACGAACATTCATTTGTAAAATACTTGTTTTTTTTATTAATTAATAACTTTATGAATACAAAAATATGTTTTGATAAATTTTTCCTGCATTCGCAAAAAAATGTGTCTTTTCTTCTCAATTTTATCGTTTTATGTTTAAAATTTAATAAAAATAAAACGACTTTTTCTACTCTTAAAAATGGGTCAATTTTCCCCATTCAAAAAAATTTTATTTAAATAAAATATAATTTATTTGAGTTAAAGAAAAGTATATTTGTCTCAAAGTCTTCTAAATTATTTATTTGTTTCAAATATAAGTGTCAGTAAATATAAATAGAACGTTTGTTTAAAGAGTTTAAACGTAATAAAATTTATTTGATTTAAATAAAAAGTTTGGAAAATTTTTCATTTAAACTATCAAGATTTGCGATATTTTAATGAATTAGTAGTAGAAAGTCAGTTTAGTCAGACAAAACCATATTAAAAAATTTTTTTGAAAATTTTAGAAAATATACCTTTATGGAAATTTGTCGGTAGAGGGTTGCAATAAATTAGACATAAATTAGTTTCCAATCTTTATTTTTCTTTATTTATAAATGAAACAAAAAATTTTAAATAATAATAAATTAATATTAATGGAAATATTAATAATAAATTTTTAAATTAATATATATTTTTTCTTATTTTTGGTTGACTTTATTTTGATTTAACTATATTTTGACTTCCTTTCATAAGCAAAAATTTAAAAAAATAAACTTTCTTTTCTCGAAAAAAAGTTGTAAATAAATATTTTAATTAAAATATGAGAATACTCTTTACAATTTGTTGTCTTTTTTTTACTACAGCATTCTTGTATAGAGATTTGAGGGAAATTATAAATAGTTTATTATAATTAGGTCAGGACTCATTTTCCTTACTTCACAGTTCATTTTGACTTCCTTTCATAAACAATCTCTCCCATTGCGCTTATTATTTCATATTTCTATTGTTTTAGAAACAAAAATACCTCATTATGTAAATTTATTGTCTTAAAATAAAAATAGCTCATTATGTAAATTTATTGTTTTCGATGAGAAAAATATAAAAATATTTCTTTTTAAATGGATAATATTTTTTAGACTAAATTGAATTTAAAATAATGCAAATTTATTTTTAAAAAAAGCAAATTAAATGTTAATTATCAAAAGATGTTTTTTTTTTTAATTTATTAATAAGTTGGAAGGAAATAGGTATATAAATAATTTGTGATTTATTTATTATTGGTGAAAAAAAGAAAAGCGAGAAGTTTTTTTTTCAGAAATATGTATTTTTGATGAAAATTTTAGTCCAAGTATTTTACAATAGTAAATTTCATATTGCCATACGATTGTTAATTGATAAAAATTTTATTTGTTGAAGTTTGAGAAGTTTTTCGAAA